GCCCAGAAGGTCGAGGCTGCGGTGGCCGGGAGCGGCCACTGCACTCCAGTCTGGGCGACAGAGTGAGACTCCAACTCAAAAAAAAAAGAATGACTCCCTCATATTGTGTCAATAAACCGATGGCACAATTTTGGAATTACAGAAATTAATGTAGTATATCTCCCAATACTGAAATCTGAGAAGATACAACTGATGTTCTGTAGTTTTTCTTGTAATTATAAACATTCACAAATTACTATCCTATTACAAATTGTTATAACAATGGCATTTATCTCAAGCAAAGCATTATCGATTCAAAAGCTGGTTGAAACTCAAAATATAGCAATAGTAACAAAGTTCCATTTGTTATAAAAACTATGGCATTCAAATTTTAAGCCATGAAAACTGCTGGATCTTAAGCAGAAAAAGGATATTATTTTCACTTATGGAGAAATTTTCCATTGCCAATTGCAGTCTTAATTATTACACTTCCATTACTCAATGTGAAACACAAATACACATAAATGATCTTTCTTTTTCTTCATATCCATTTTCAATTTTTTCACACAAGGAGATACTTCGTATGTTTCACTGTTTTGTGGTCCAATTAGGCTTCCTATTCTATCACCTCAAATATCACAGCTCCTTACAGTGGACTTCACGGAATTAAACCTTAAGGTTTAGATAGTGAAAACGCTAAAGGAAATACATTCATATGCCCACTGTCTGTCACGAGTTAAGGAATCTCTAGTTTGCAGTTAGGAGGCTGGCTTTACAATACGCTGAAATTCCTGGGCAACCCACCCGGGTCCCCTCCCACTCGGGGAACTTTTCTGCCCTCTCAACAAATCCTTCTTTCAAAAATAAAACAAAAACACTGAAATTCCTTAAGATCCGGTAACACATATGTTCATTTTAATTTTGACTCCCTTGGTCGAAAAGGGCTAAGAAGGCCTTTATTGTCCTAAATAATAGTCCTAGCCTTTTCCAAGATAAAGAAAAACTGGCAGGAATAGTGTCACTTGTAACATTTACCAATAAGGCAGACAGCAAAAAGCCCCCAAGAGTCCCAATCGCAGGCGGCTCCCTTCGAATATGCCCCGAGGATTCCAGCAACAAGACCGGGCTCGCTCAGCTTGGGGCACCCGGCTTCTCTTTTCCCGTCCGGAGTCAGCCCTTCCCACTAGACGTCTCCCAACGCCCGAGACTGCCCCTCTCACCCCGCCGACATAAACCATTCCTCCCGGTTCCGGACACCGGGTTTCCGCTCCCGGCCGACCTGCTCCCCGCGGCCCCAAAGCCACCCCTCCCCCATTTCACGCTCCGCCCGCGCTGACACCGGAGCTGCCACCCCACCCCTCGGCTGTCGCACCTTTCTTCCCAGGACTTCTAGCCGGCAGCGGGCGAACGCCAGCTCCTCTGCCCACCCACCACGCTGCCTGCTGCCCCCGGGCCTGCCACTCCCTGAAGAGCCGCCAGGACCCACCTCGAAGAGCTCGGCCGTCGTAGCCATCCCGGCCGGCTGAGAGGCTCGCCCCGCGCTGGATGCCGTCTCTGCTTCACATGCTGCGCCTCAGCGGCGCCGCGCACAGGTCCCCGCTCGACTCGCCAGCTCCGGCTCGGGGCCGCCGCGGGCTCCCCCACTCCCCACACAGCCCAGGCGGGGCGAGAGAGCGGCCATGAAGCGAAGCCGCAGACGCCTGTCAGCTGCCTCCCGGCGCCGCCCGCGCCGCTCCCATTGTCACCGCCTCGTACGCCGGAAGTGGGGCTGCGCGCGCCCGGGAGGCTGTCGGGAGGGGCCGGAGGAGAACACGAGCTGCGGGGAAACCGAAGCGAGACTCGTCGATCCGGCACAGGAGAAAGTTTGGTCCTTGCGGGCCACCATCCCGGAAGTGGAATTTTGAGGAAGAAAGTACTGGGGGTGCTGGGGCTCAGTAAATCTCTCGGGGTTCTAGGTGGGAATTCTTAGAACTTTTGTGGTGTGTGTTGACCAGAAGCGACACAGAGGTTTTAGTCACTTCTTAAAAGGGGATAGCTTCTCCGCTCCCTATGTGGCGCAGGGTGAGCCTTGAGGTTTCTGGTAAGAGGCCATCTGAGAAAGCCGGTCTATGCTGTGCCTAAGTGGCGTCCGCAATTGTGAGATGAGCAAAATGCTTTAATGGATTATTATCATGGCGCTGCGGGCTGTGTGGCTCATAAGTCACGAACCAGGAACTCCATGTTGTGGCACCGTGAGATTCTCCAGGTAAATGCAAGTCTGAGTCCTCAGGGAGGATGGATCGGGGGTCGATGACGTAGCATAGTTTTGTGGTGCATGATGGCTTGGGCAAGTTACTTAACCTCTGTTTCGTCTGTTAAGTGGAGGTTTTTTAATTGTTATTTTTTGCAGACCCGGGGTCTCGCTATGTTGCTTAGGCTAGTCTCGAACTCCTGGCCTTAAGTGATCCTCCCGCCTCGGCCTCTCTAAATGCTCGGCCTAAATGGAGATTTTTTAAGCCCTAAGACAGTGCTGTGGGAATTGAGTGAATTGATACCTGGCACATATTAAGTATTACACTACATGTTTTCTAGTATTAGTGTTATTGTATGTTAAAATGAACTCCACTTGCTTAGGATTAATATGGAGATGACGAAGGGAAAGGAAAACTTGTTGAGCTCTGAACATGTTTCAGATTTTTCGACTTTCATTGGTAAAATCATTTAAGAACATTTTAACTCATTCTGCTAGAAAATCCTTGCTAAGCTGTTTCAGACTTTTATTTTCATCTTATCAAGATATGTTATTGATTCCTGGAAACCATCAGTATACAATTCTTAGCTGTTGAACAAAATAGAAGTACAAACAATTAAGTTGCATTCACTTTTTCGTAGGCAGTGTTAGTTGGTATGGACTCTTTTTTTGCTCTCTGTGAAGAGAACTAAAGTATACGATAACTCATTGAAAAATATGTGGGTGGTAATCGAGTAGTAATCTATTTCACCTTTTATTCTCAGTGGTCATTGATAGTTCCTTTTTGCCAACAATTCTTCCCTGAGGAAAACTTATAGTGAAGTAGCGTAGTAGAATTGAGATTGAGGCAACTAAAGATGAGTGTAATTTTAAATGAAAAGTGGTTGGCAATGCTGGTATGAAAAATTTCCTCTTTGCTACATAAATAATTTTTGTTAACGAGGGCTTCAAAGTTGAAGTTTACCATTTCCCCCCAGGATTCCTGGCTTATCTTTGTTGTTGTCGTGCCTCAGGTACAGGAGATTAGTAATATTCTTTAGTCTGGTTTTATTAGCCCCATTAGTCCATCCAAGGTAACCCTCACTTTACTTATATATTCTCTTCAATTACCTATTTCTAACTGCAATCACCGTCCCCCTCACAGGTAACATATGTTCAGCATTACACATTTACTTATTTATATTTGTATATGCATTTTTCAAGTTACATAATTAAGTGTGCTTTAGATTTCACTTTTATTAACATTTGTCAGATTTTTTCAGCACTATTTTTAAGAAACATCCATATTACTTTGTGTTCATCTAGAGCAGCATGTCCCACAGAATTTTCTACAATGATAGAAAGGGATCCTGAATTATACCCCACATCTTTAAAATAAAAAAGAAAGGAGGAGATGTTCTAAATCTGTGCTGGCTAATATTATAGCCACCAGCCACATATGTCTACTGAACTTTTGAACTGTGGTTAGCATAACTGATGAACTCAAGTGTTGATTTTGTTTAATGTTAATTGTTTAAATAGCCACATGTGATTAGCGTCTCCCATGGTGGACAGTGCAGATCTAGGCCATGGTTTGTATCCCCCACGTTTTACCTCTCCCCCTTCCTTAATGATGATCCCTCAAGTTTGCCTCATAGTCTCAGCGATCAGAACTGAAGTAGACATCTTTAAACAGATCATGCAACATGTCTCTGCTGCCAAATAATTAGTGCCTCAGAATGCTTTCACTCATCCACACACTCACAAGCAGTGAGTGAGGGTTCCTATATCTCTGTTCTTTCCTAACTTTTCATCTAATTTTTGCCAATAAAAGATGTCCTATTTTCATTTTCACTACTGTTTGTAGCAATGATTTCTTAGTGCTTTGGGTTTCCTCTTCTGTGAATTGCTGGTACATACCCTCTGTCTTTTTTTCTTTGAAAGTTGCTGGGGTTTTCTTGTTGATTTGTAGGATTTATATACTGTCACTATTAATCCTTTACCATTTTTAGGTGTTATAGATACTTTCTTTTAATTTATCATTGTCAATTAACTTTATGTTGCTTTTGGTTAAACAGAAATCACTAATTTTGATGCAATCAAAATAGTTAGCACTTTTGGAAATTTGTTGAAGTCTTCCCCTACCCTTATTTACCAAAAAACTCTTCCCACGTTATCCTCTCTTTACTTTATAATTTCAACTGTTATATTTAGGTTTTTAATCCATATGTAGTCCATCTTTAGACATGTCATTAAGTAAGAATCCCACTTTGTTTTTCTCTATACTGTGGGCCAATTTTCCTGACATCATCTTTGAAGCAGTATATTATTTCTTCATTAATTTGTGGGGTTATTGGTAATGTTTTATTATGTCCTCTCATATACACATTGATTTGTCTCAGTTCTGTTGCTATATTTATGTTTCTTGTGCCAACACCATACTGTTTTTATATTTGTTGCTTTGTAACTTATCTTTGTGCCTCATAGAGGTGAGATTTCTACTACTTAAAAATAAATTTCTTAAAGAAGTCATGCTAGTTTTCAGAATGTTTTCCTGTGCACAGGATATTATTTCAGAACAAAAATTAAGAGAAATTCGAATGGGTGTTTCAACATATCTTCGGGGGCAACAAGTTGGGTTCAAATAATTTTAATTCTGTATCATTGAATGAATTTGTTAAATTTTGTTATTTTCTGTTTTCTGACCTCTTAGGGCTGGGTGTTAGGGCTAAATAGATGTGCACTGACACGTTATCCACATAAATGCCAAAGGATAATGGCCAGCATTTAAGATTTAAGAAGGCAAATGATCTTTCTAACATTTTAAACTAGTTAGATACTAGAAATAAATATCAGCTGCCTATTTTCCACAACAGAACTTGGTTTACATTCTGGTTTAAAGGTTTGCTTTCTAGATAGTAATGACATCAACTTAAGTTTGGCTTAGGTTAATACTGTACTGCATAGTTATAGGGCCATTTAAGGTTTGAGTCCTGATTTAGGAAAAAACCTAGAATAAATTTGAAATGACAGGTTGAGTCATCCAACAAAATATCTGTTGAGCACACATATTGAGGTATTGTATAAGGTCCCAGATTAACATCTTATCTTTACAGTCGGTCATGAAATTTTTACACTTAAGAACTTTAATTATCCTATAGATAACTAGAGAATAAGACAATGGACTAGAGTTTAGTCCAAAGTTCTTTACTATTTTCATTCAAAGACTTGGAAGAAGCAATGGCATTTACCTACTAGGCCTTTACTGCTATGCTAGCTAATTCTTCCCTTTTCTTAATCAAGAAAATGCATCTGAATCTGAATGTGAGATTTACTCATACATGGATAACTGAATACGTTCTTATTTTTTAAAATTACTAGTAAAAGTCAATATTTTATTAGTTAAAAAAACTGTTTTAGCCTAGTATATTTTTGACCCTTGGTAAAAAATTGCTGCTTTGTTGCCACTCCTTTATTTTACAAATAAGGAAATAGGCTAAGTCAAATTTTCTATTTACTCAAAAGTTAATAGCTGATAGATGGCATTGTTCTGGAGTTTAGAGTAGGGGAAGAAGGAATGAGGAAAAGTACATTTTTTTTTGGAATTAAGAAAAATGTGATCTAATAGATTTCTGTAAGTGAGCAAAAGCATTTTCTGTTTCCAAAAAAAGGGATGAATTACTAATTTAGCATTTAACCCAGAACGTGCACATCATAAGGGATTATTTAGATTTTATTCTTTTTTATTACCTAATAGTATCTCCCAGGGCCTTAGACATAAACCACTATTGCTAAAATGATCTTCCAAATTTTTTAAGAGTTGGCATTAAGACTCAGGGTACCTGTTATTCACTGTAAGTTGAATAGAACAGAACATTCCTTTCAAAATTATACCATCTCAATTAGTGAATCCAAAATTGTAGAGGGTTAAATTGAACCACTTTTGTGTTCTGACTCTACTAAGATGGAATCAGAAGAAAAAAGTATCCTTATATATGTCTAAAACGGTCCAGATATACATTCTTTGCTAAGCAAGAGAAAATCATAGTGTCGAGAGATAAGTGTTTTGAATTAGAATCATGTACTCTACCTATTTTAAAAAATTAAGTAACTAAATTGAATTAAGCATTTTCAATAATCAGTGACATACCGAGTATAAAACAGTTACTCTAATAGGAACTCAACATGTAATATAATAGATTTTGGTTGTTTTTTGTGCATGTGTATATATATTTGTTTGTTGTATGTTTTATCATTATTACTGTTTACCTTGTGTTTGGGGTTTTCTTTTAATCTTCCATTTTGATTTTACTTGGAAGAATAATTTATAATGTTTCTGTTTCCATAATGCAGACGGTATCCAACTGTTGAAAAACGAGCCAAAGTATTCAATGGAACAAATTATGTGCCTATTCCTGAAGATGATCCCTTTCTTAAAGCACTACTCTTTGAACTTAGATTATTGGATAATGATAAGAACTTTGTGGCAAGTCGTGATAGCTGTTCACGCATCAATAAAACATCCATCTATGAACTCCCAGTAGGAGGTGAAGAACTGTGGCCAGTTGTTGCTTTTCTGAAGAGTGGCATGATATATGCTTGTGTTCCACTAGTGGAACAAACTGTATCCCCTCATCCACCATTAATTAGCATTAGTGGAATTTCACAAGGCTTTGAACTTCTTTTTGGCATACAGGATTTTCTTTACTCATGTCAAAAACATAACACTGAGCTAAATACAAAATTGAGCCAATTGCCTGACTTGCTTCTACAGGCTTGTCCATTTGGTACTGTATTAGATGCCAACTTACAAAATTCGTTGGATAATATCAATTTTTTGCCTGTGACTCAGCCACAAAAACAGCCAGCCTGGAAAACTGGAACATATAAAGGAAAACCACAAGTTTCTATTTCTATCACTGAAAAAGTAAAATCCATGCAATATGATAAACAGAATATAGCAGATACATGGCAAGTTGTTGGAACAGTCACTTGCAAGGTGAGATTTTCTCTGGTATTTTAAATAACAGTCTTGATTTTTGTCTTAAGCAGCAATTGTTAGATATTAGAGTCGTGTAAAATAGTATAGTGTTATCTTTTTGCATTTCTTACCATTATGTTACTTATCTATAGCTGTGTAATAAGTCGCTTCATTACGTACAAAATAAGCATTTATTATCCTCATAGCTTCTGTGGTCAGAACTTCAGGCACAGCTTGGCTGGAAACTTCTAGTGAAGAGTCTCTTGAAGTCGCAGTCAAGTTTTCAGTTAGGGCTATAGTCATCTGAAGTTTGTCTGGGACTGAAAGATCTGTTTGCAAGATGTCTCACTCACATGGCTAGCAAATTGGAATTGGTTATTGGAGGAAGGTCTCAGCTACTTTCCTCATGGATTTCTCAGCATGCTGCTTAAGGGTCCTTACAACTTCATGACTGACTTGCCTCAGATGGAATCATCTGAAAATGAGAGAAAAGGAGAGAGACAGGCAGAAGCTCTTCTTTATATTACTTAGTCTGGGAAGTCACATAGTATCATTTCTGTTTTGTTCATTAGAAGCAAGTCACTAAGTAGTCCATTTTCAAGGGACATGGAATTAGTCTGCACCTTTTGAAAAGTGTAGTGTCAAAGAGTTTATTGGCATATTGTGAAACTACTACATCTGTTTTTCATTTTCTTTGGGGGGGGTGAAATTGACAAATCTTTGACATGATATCTAAAATTATTTTGAAGGGTTTTTCCATTTAAACAGGTCAGTAGGTTAATATAGGATTCTCTGGTTTAAGATTAGAAAATAGGAAAAGGCAATGGAAATAATACAGTTAGCAGTGATTAATGCCATGTCCAGTAATGATCAAAAATAAAAATCCTCCAACTTAACTTTCTACAAGTGTGTATTAATATTATTCTTAAATGTCTTTTTCTGTCTTCCTTTATTCTCTGCACTTAATGAATGCATTTTTTTATATATCAAACTTAATGTTGTGTGACTATGTCTAAGTCTTATAGATAAAAGTAGATTTCAAAACAGAGAATTAGAATACTCCTGACAGGCAAGTTGGATCTTTATTTTATTTTTTATTTTTATTTTTATGTTTGAGTTGGAGTCTCATTCTGTCCCCCAGACTGGAGTGCAGTGGCACGTTCCCAGCCACCGCAGCCTCGCCCTGCTGGACTCCGGCAATCCTTCCACCTCAGCCTTCCAAGTGGCCAGAACTACAGGTGCGCACTACCACACCCGGCTAATTTTTTATTTATTGTAGAGACGAGGTTTCGCCAAGTTGCCCAGGTGGATCTCGAACCCACGGGCTTAGCTAATCCACTCGTCTTGGCCTCCCAAAGTGCTGGGATTACAGGCTGAGCCACCAAGCCCGGCCAGATCTTTATTTTATTTTAACCTAAAAGATTTTGTGTCTGTATTAAACTCACTTCTATCGTGGTCATAAATACATTCTAATATAATTCATTATATTAGAAATAACTTGTAAATGTCTTCAAAATTGAGGTGCTCATGGATTATGTCATTCCAAAGTCTTAAAGCAATTAAATCTTTTTTCTAAGTTCAGTGGAATAAAAAAATAGGAAAATTCACCATTTCTATTTTTCCATTCTGTGGCAATAAATAGGGAATTTATTTGTATATAATGTGTAATATTAACTAATAAGGTGTTTAAATGTCAGTGTTCACTGATAGGATAACTCTAGTTTATTGCTTATGATAATTTCAGATAGGTTCTTAGTCCTGATACAGATTATCATGATGGGCAAAGAATGAAGGTATACCCTAACCTATACTCTTGATGTTTCTTTAAGGTTATATGCAAATCATATAAATGTAAGCCAATCATTTGTTAAGTACTTCAGAAGCTTAGAATTTAGAGGTATTTTGTTATGAAGCTCATTGCAAGTGGGAATAATTATCTTCATTTTATTCTACTCCAATAGAAAAATCCAAAAGCCAATGGACTAAAGTTCTAGACCTTGCTGTACCACTAATTTTCTGTGTGTCTTTGGAAAAGTCACACAATGTTATGAATCTTTTATTTTTTTAAATGAGATAAGCTCTTATATGTCTTCTTTTTCATTAATTTCTAGTTCTAAGGTCCAGATTTACCCTATGTAAGATTGGTTTATAGGGTAGTACAAAGAGTTCTTCTACAGTGGATGTCCTCATGGCTGATGTAAATTACTTATGAGCTAGTGTTTTAAGAGCAGTTTCTGTAGTGGTTGCTGTTTCTCTCTCCTCTTTAAGAATGTTAGACTATTAGAGGATAGCTTAATAAGTATAAACTAAATATTTTTAAATTTTAATAGTATTTATTATTAATGCTTGCTTATTTTATTATCCAGAAATATCTATCAAAGCAAAACTACTTTTTGTTTATTCTTACTAGTTTACGTATAAAGAGTAGCAGATAGTTTAAAAGTTGAAACACTAAAACATTTTAAGTTTTTTAGTAAGGTTATTTGACATATTTTCAAATGTTTCCAAAAGATGAAAAAGGCACTGATTGTACAGGGTGCTGTTCATAATGCCTGCCTGCTTTCTAATTGCTTACGATGTATAGCAGATACACACATATGTACATTAATTCACACATATGTCAAACAGTAGATAAAACACAAAGAAGTGAAACATTTCATATTAGAAATTGACAACAAAAGTAGGGTCCATAATTGGAAAAAGATATCCCCTCAGAAAACATTTTTTGATTTTCTCTCATGCATAGAAATGTGCTAGGCACTAGAGATATGAAGAAAAATTTAGCAATTGTTGCTTTCTTTTTTTTTTTTTTGAGTTGGAGTCTCACTCTGTCGCCCAGACTGGAGTGCAGTGGCCGCTCCTGGCCACCGCAGCCTCGACCTGCTGGGCTCCGGCGATCCTTCCGCCTCAGCCTTCCAAGGAGCTGGAATTACAGGCACGCACTACCACGCCCAGCTGATTTTTTTTTTGATTTATTGTAGAGATGAGGTCTCGTTGCCCATGCGGGTCTCGAACCCACGGGCTCAGGCAATCCACTCACCTCAGCCTCCCAAAGGCGCGGGATTACAGGCTGAGCCACCAAGCCCGGCCAATTGTTGCTTTCAAAGAACTTAAAGCTTCAAGAGGGAAGTAAACTGGGGCATGGACAAATACCTATAGATGGTGGACAGTTAATGCATGGTGCAGACTGTGTATTTGGTAGTACATTTGGAGCTAAGCATTATGTCTGCTGAATTGCTTTCTTAAAGTATCAAGCAGGTCTATTGAAACAAAAGACATCAATAATTCTTATAAAGCTCAGTTGGCCAGTTTGAGCCAGGCTTTAATAGAGGTAAATGTCAAGTTAGAGATGAGGTACAAAGGAAGACCCTGAGTACCTACAAAAACACAGGTAAGGTGTATTAGTCTGGTTGGGTCAGGAAAAACCACTATAAAATTTATGGGAGTAAAGGTATTTAATATAGGAATTAGGGTTTACTCAACAGGAGCTGGGAGAATGAAAGTTTCTGATCCTCTGGCCTCAGCCTTTCAGAAAGAGTCACTAAAGACTTCATTCTGGAGACTGGAGTAGGTAGAGAATCCAAAGTTTACAGAGAAGTCTGAGAAGCTGCTATGTCTGTTACAACCTCAAAGCGAGAATTCCAGGAAATATCTGCGCAAGTACTGTATCTGGCTGCCACAGTTTCACAGTAGAAGCTCAGGGACAGGTCATGAAGCTTTCGTATCTGGCTTCCATGACTTCCCAAGAATAATAACTACCTTTCCCTTCTCTCTTCTAAATCACATGAGTACCTCTCCTTAGCAGACTAACCCAGACCACATAGGGAAGATGATCCTTGGCTTCTCTACATTGTAGACCATAGAGGTGACAATACAGAACATAAGGCTTCACACAGCATTGAATGAACCAGGTTGACAGGAAGGAAAGAACTCTGTAGCTGGAGGAACTAGCACAACAAAGGTGTATATGGAGGTATAAGGCAGTGTGGTTTATTCAGGTTTTATTCATGCAAGAATCCAGTATGTCTATAGCATAAGCTGCAGGATAGAAAATGATTAAGAAAGTAGATGGGAGTCAAACAACGAAAGACTTTGCAAGTAATACAGACTCATGGAAAACCATTGAAAGGATTTGAGCATGAATGCGATACAATAAAAACTGTTTCATTAAGATAACTCTAGCATTGATGGAGGATTTGAGGACTGATTAGGGAAATGCAAATCTAGATACATCTGGAGGACTGTGACAAAAATCAGAAGGGCCTGTGTCAATGTGGTTGCAACAGGAATGGAGAGAAGCCAATGGATTTAAAATATCTTTTAAAGAGTTTTGTTGTTACCACTTTCACAGCAGTATTCTACTGATTAAAGAGTTTTAGAGGTAAGCAGAGGAGTCTATGAACACTCTTCTGGTCTCTGGCGTGGGAAAACAAAATAAGAGCATTACTCAGAACACAGAAAGCAAAGAGAACAATACTTAGAGAGAAAAGTGAGATAAGCTGGGGAAACTGACTTTGATAATAAATTCAGAAAAGCCTAAAACAGATATTTGCTTCCCAGATCTTGGTGGTATCTGTCTCTGTTTGTATTGCAGTGTGATTTGGAGGGAATCATGCCAAATGTGACAATCAGCTTGAGTCTCCCCACCAATGGATCTCCACTTCAGGATATTCTAGTTCATCCTTGTGTGACTTCTCTTGACTCTGCCATTCTGACTTCTAGTAGCGTTGATGCAATGGATGACTCTGCATTTAGTGGGCCTTACAAATTTCCATTCTCTCCACCTTTAGAGTCATTCAACTTATGCTACTACACTTCTCAGGTAAACAACCTTGGAAAAGTCAAGACTTTGCTAATCTTTGTATTTACAAATCCTGTTGATAAGCATATCATTCTTTTTTATTTTTAGTGTTCCCTGAAAAAAAATCCATGGCCATAGGATAGATCCGGATGTGATTTAGTAATTGTTTTAACCATGAATGTAAAATACCTCTAATCCCAAGCAACCTTAGTTACAAATATATAATATTATTAATAGCTATTTATTGCTTATTGAATACTGCTGTGTGACATTGTCCTAGGCACTTTTAATGTACTTTCTTTAGTTCCTTTAGCAGTTGTTAAGGTAGGTATTATTATTCCCATTTTACAAATGAGAAGGATCTCAGAAAAGTCAAATGACTTTCCCAAGGTCATATAACTGACAAAATGGCACAGCCTAGATTTCAACTCATATTTTTCAGACTTCCAAACTCCTTTTCCACTCTACTATTTGTCTCTTGTCCTAGTTGTGAATCACTAGGTTAGAAAAACCTACTCAAGCTAGTAGAAAGAATGCAACGGTCTTATTGTCATTTAAGGATATGGAAAAAGTACGCCCACATCACACTGGAACTAGAGCTAGAAAATTAAAATTAAAATCACTCTCTACACAAGGTCCACACTGTCTCATCTCTGCTTCTTGTTCTTCTCTTTCAACTGGCATTTTCTCTGCTTGCACGTGACCTTACAGCTCAAGGCCCTACACCATATAGGTGGAGTCTCTGTGTCTTACTTCAAATGTACCAGAAAGAATGACTGGCTCACCCCAGCCTACAAATTGTTTCTCCTTTAGTCATTTATTGGTGACTAATCAAGTAAGCTACTGTTGACCTAGGGACTTTGGAGAGTCACAGGATTCAAATGGAACAGCAAGAACTGTGGGCAGGGTGGTGGTGATCAGTATATCTTATGCATGATCTATGCTGCAGGTCAGAAAACCTGGAGGAAGGGAGTCTGGACAAGCAAGAGTAGGGACAGGAATGCATTGTGCCCCTTGTAAGGCATTTTTCTCAGCTCTGAGCACAGAGATTCAAGAATCTGTCCTCAGTATGAATATAGATCCATTATTACTATTACCAAACAACTTGGAGTAACCTGTGAGTCAATAAAGACACAACTGTGTATAAAGACTATGTTACCGCAAGACATTTTTTTCAGTCACTATTGATATTTTAGACCCATTAACCTGAGAATTGTATAAAAATTTGCTTATGTTTGTTTTCAGGTCCCCGTCCCACCAATTTTGGGTTTTTATCAAGTGAAAGAGGAAGAAGTACAACTAAGAATAACAGTCAATTTAAAACTTCATGAAAGTGTAAAAAATAATTTTGAATTCTGTGAAGCTCATATACCTTTTTACAATAGGTAGGAATAAAATAACATGATGCCATGATTTCTGCCTTCATTAGTACATTCCTCTGCCCCATAATAAATTGTCTTTGTTTTTTTACCTTATTGAAAAGATCTAAATAACTTCATGTTTTTCAAATGAATACTGATTATAAACCAAAATATGGTCATAAAAATAGGCCAGGCACGTTGGCTCATGCCTGTAATCCCAGCACTTGGGAGGCCAAAGTGAGAGGATTGCTTGAGCCCAGGAGTTCAAGACCAGTCTAGGAAACATAGCAAGACTTTGTCTTTATAAAAAAATCAAAAAATTAGCCAGGTATGGTGGCGCATACCTGTATTCCCAGCTACTCAGGAGGCTGAGGCAGGAGGGTCACCTGAGCCCAGGAGGTCAAGGTTTTGGTGAGCTGTGATCATGCCACTGCACTCCAGCTTGGGTGACAGAGTGAGACCCAAATCATTCAAAAAAATTATTTAAAAAATAATAATTAAGAGATAATAATTAAAATAATCTCTTTGCCTTTAAATGTGTCATTTTTTTTGTTAAACTTTCTAGTAAATGACAAACTTAAGCCAATGTAGCTTCCTCAGGAATTATTTTACTATTGGCTTTATTTCTAGCAATTTCTTTGTATTCAATATACAAGTCAAGTCCAATTGTCAACAACCTGTTGAATTAGCCACCTATATCATCATAGGATTACTCTCCCTATCAGTTTTACTTTTAGATTTATTCTGCAGCATAGTTCTTTTCAAAGTATACCTAAATGTGTAGTAAAATCAAAGTTTTAATGGTACATCAACCCATGTAAGTGTACTAAAACATTCTATATGATTTCATAGTTATCTTTAAGATGAATAGTGAAATATATATCATCATCAGAAATGTTTGTGGTTTCTGGGTGTTTTTTGAGATTTAATTTTTATCATTCTATTCTGCAAACTTGAACACAGATCTGCTTTTATGCAGTCCTTATATTAAGTAACAACAACACGATTTGTCTTAGATCTCTTAAAACTCTTAAGTCTGTGATCATTTTTTTCTCTCTTTTGTCCTTTTCTTTTTTAAAGAGGTCCAATTACACATGTGGAATACAAAGTTAGTTTTGGCCAGCTTGAAGTATTTCGAGAAAAAAGCTTATTGATCTGGACTATTGGTGAGCAAAGTTTTCTTTATTGACTTTTTTCCATTTGTTATAGAATCTACCTTATTTAGAATAGTTGATTGGTATATTTGTATTTTTAGGCCAGAAGTTTCCGAAATCATTGGAAATTAGTCTTTCTGGAACTGTAACTTTTGGCACCAAGAGCCATGAGAAGCAGCCATTTGACCCAACTTGTGTTGGAGGGACAGCATATTTAAAGGTAAACATATCTATATGTCTCACTGATGTTTTCCACCAATTTTTTTGGAATTGTTTTTTTTTTTTTTGGTCTGGACTAAGTTCTTTTCTGGATTTTTGGTTGATTCTTTTTGTTTGGTATTAATCACTTTGTACTTCAGTTAGTACTTAAAAGATTTTAAGGGAGCCAGGTGCAGTACTGGGCACTTGTAGTCACAGATAGTTGGGAGGCTGAGGCAGGAAGATTGTTTAACCCCAGGAGGTCAAGACTGGCATATACAATCATGGTGATCTTGCCTATAGCCACTGTACTCCAGCCTGGGCAACATAGCAAGACCTCATTTCTTTAAAAAAAAGAATTTAAGGGAAATAAGTATAACCTAAACACCTCAACTTAACCTAATTCTACCCAGTTCTTAGTTACCAAATTCAAGTTTTGTATGCAAAAGAACATAGGATATAATCATTGCCCCCTGGGGATTTTTCAGTAATGCACATCAGTAATTGACCAGTGCTAACTGCTTTTGCTGTTTTAAAGAAAGAGTAAGCACATTTGGCCAAAGTGGTCAAAGAACGAACGTTTTGCGGAGATGGAATTTAAACAAAACTCTGTGGCCTAGATAAGCATAAATATGAAACCCTGACTTGATTAACATTTGTTTAAGTTAAGAAATGACTTCAAAGAATGAAGAAGAATAAAGAAGGCAGGCTTAGGAACCGGGACTAAAAACAATAGTACTATATGAGACTGGATAAGTCATTTAGGCTTGGATTACAGAGAGTTTGAGTCTGACTTTTATTCCTTTGGTCGATGTTATACTTTTTTGCGTAGGAGAGTAGTCTTTCACAAAGGGATATTTTATGAATATCAGTCTGGAATAGATGTGAGGACAGTGAATGAAAACACTAGAAACAAATAAACCATTCTATAGCATATGCATGTTCCATGAGGAGTAACAATAAGTTAATGCTGCTGAGCTAGTGTAGTGTCAGCTGAAAGAGAAAAGAAGGGACTACTGTAAGAGCCACGATAAAAGTAAAGCCTTTACCACAAATTAAATACAAAGATAAGAAACTATTATAAGTTAAAGATGGTGTTGTTCAAAAACACATGTAACTTAAACTAGACTTGATGATTTAGGAGGGTAGAGACATGTGAATCTCATTCATTATTTTATCTCCAACATCTAGTCCAGTACCTAGCATATAAATATTTGTTGAAAAATGAACATACTTCAAAGAAAGTATTGATATGGAAAAAATTGGTAGTGAGTAGGTTTCATGTCATAACTGTTGCTGGTAATAGCTAAAAACCTAATGCTTTGTTCTCAGGAGAGAGTTCAGCTGTGTATAAGGATTTAGGAGTTATCCACTTAGAAGAAATAGTTGAGGCAGTGGAAATGAATAAGATCAGAAAAAGATAAGAGGAAGATTCGGAAGGATCAGTGAGGGAATTGATGAGTGATCAAAAAGGTAACAGGAAAACCCAAATAGAATGGTGTTAAATCAAAAAAGAAAGATTGAAATCTATACTTAGAGGCAATAAGAGGAAGTGGCAGTGAAGTCAGAAGTATACTTGTAATAATTCATTTTTTCTATCTTGGTTTCTCCTATATCCGCAAGCTTTGTTTCAAGATTATTATGAAAATTTTTACTTTAGATGTCTTTCAGGGAAAAACATGGAATGTTACCACGTTGTATGTCCTCCAGAAATATAGATTATGATTTCCCATTAATTTCCTTGCCTAACCAGTTACAATCTCATGGAAAGCATGCAATACATATTTGTGTTCCTTGAATGGACTAAAATATCTCAGTTGTGTGAAAATCAACCTTGTCATAACTTCCAGCATCCAGAATTGTACCAAATAAGCAAACAAGAGCCCTTTACTATCAGATAATTTGAGTTACCACAGGAAAGAAAATGGCTGAGAAGATCTGAACAGTACATTACATTCTAAATCACATCCAGTGCATGCAATCAGTTTGGCAATTAAAGGAGAAAGACAATGGGAGAAGTTTGCAAGGAAGGGAACTAGGGAAAAAATATAGGAAAGATATCAAGAATACTGAAAAATCAGGAGCATTGGGCAGTAGAGATAAGGAGAACCACAGCCAAAAGAGACTTGGAGCTCCTTGAAACAGACTTTGTATTCATGTGATCGTCATTGTAATTCAGAGGCACCTGGCACTCTTCAGAGAAGGTACTAATAACTCTATTATAGCACAATATAATAATTGGCGATTGTAGGGATAGTCCCACATTGTCAGTGAAACCTAGGAACTGTGGATCATGTTTTGGAAGGGTTTTCTAAGTGAGGGCGGGGATAAGGTCTGTAAAAATTAAATTTCATTCTTCTAGAAAGTTAAGTAGAGCCACTGATTCTCCCCCAAACACAAGATAGACTGATGTTTCTGTTTTAGTAGTTGTATTCTTGTGTTTTGCCAGAAGATATATGTGTTCCTGCCCGTAAAATAATTATGATCTGAAATATATCATAACCACATAGCTCTAGGGATAGAAGAGAATGTATGGTGTGCCAGCCAGCATTAAAGGAGCACCAGCTTTTGTAGTCAGGCAAGCTGAGTTCAGATGCCAGCTCTGCTACTTACATGCTGGGGTGCCAATTGCATCCACCTCTGAACCTTAGTTCCCTCATTTATAAGATGGGGATACGTTGCACTAAGGACTAGTGGTCATGTTAGTAAAGTGCCTGGTATGTGTTAGGTACTTCATAATGACAGTTTTACAAAGAAATGACCCTAATACAAAGGGAAAGATAATTTGTGTGTGTACACACATGTGCGTGTACACACAACAATTCAAGTTTAATACTTGTGATTTTTATTTTGTGAAATGTATGAGATAAAGTCCCTAAGATTGTATCAAGGGAAAAAATATAACCTCCTTTTTACCAAATAATCACCTTAACTTGGAACATTTATCTTATTTTTTTCTAGCTCCATTTTAGGATCTTAGATTACACACTCACTGGGTGTTATGCAGATCAGCATTCTGTTCAAGTTTTTGCATCAGGAAAACCAAAGATAAGTGCACGTAAGTTATACAGATTCAAACCAAAGGGAATTAAAATAGTGTTATGCTGGTACTACCTAAGGTAAAATTAAATTGTAACAGAACTTGGAGATTGGAGAATAATTCCAATTTATACAATTCTGCATAGCAGTTTGTGTAATTTACACTGCTCTCTGCCTTCCCTGCTTAATAGTTTGTGTACTATATACTGCCTTCTCTTTATACAATAGTTTGGGGGAGTAAGGATAGGGATGGAGGTGAACTTTAGTGTAAAGATGGATTTTTTTGAGGGGTTATAATAAACTGTTCTACTCAGAGGTGGTTCACAGGCACTTTGGTGTTGGACAGACAGGGGTTTGAGTCTGGCTGAGAGATTTTATTAGCTGTGTAGCTTTGGGCAATTTGGTGAACTTCTTGAAGTTGTAGTTTCCTTCTCATCTATAAAATGGAAATAATAGTGGTATTTTCCTCAGAATTGTTGAGGTTTAAATAAGATTATATTGACCAACCAGTTAACATGAGACCTACTATATAGTGTGGATTCAGTAGATGTTAACTATAATTATTCTTTAAAGTTTTAAAATATTTTTAGCAAATGTTGAATTAATAAGCATTATTTAGCACCTCTATTCTACTAGCAGGAAGACAAGAAAAAGATGTTTCCTGCCTTCAGAGTATTTATTGGTTGTGAAATATAGATACATAGCTATGAAACATATGAACGTGTAGGAAGACAAAAGGGCAATGTATAAATAAATTGAAAATTATTTAATTTGGACCAATACAAATGTGTAACATAGGATAGAAAAGTAGCTAGAAGACAGGCTTGGTGGCTCAACCTGTAATCCCACACTTTGGGAGGCCGAGGGCCGAGGTGAGTGGATTGCCTGAGCCTGCAGGTTTGAGACCAGCCCAGGCAACTTGGGAAAACCCTGTCTCTACAATAAATAAAAAATTAATCTGGTGTGGTAGCATGCGCCTGTAGTTCTGGCTACTAGGAAGGCTGAGGCGGAAGGATCGCCAGAGCCCAGCAGGTTGATGCTGGGGTGGCTGTGAGCGGGCTACCACACTCCAGTCTGGGAGATGGAGTGAGACTCCAATTAAAAAAAAAAAAGTAGCTAGAATGAAGTAGTTAGCTAACCTTAAGCAGAACCTTTTTGCCTCATTAAATGAAAGAAAACTATTATATGTTTAGATAAGAATGATCCCAATTTATAAAAATGTCTATTTAGATAAGTAATTCTTAAATTTAAGATTAGAGTTCCTAAAATAGGAAGAATAGGACAGAATTGAAAATTTCAAGAGAATTACAGAACTCAGAACAATAGAGGTCTAAGGAATTACTTGTCAATGGTGGTAATAAATTCATGTAATGTAACTAGAAGAAGCCAGTATTCTTTACTTTCCTGGTTTGCCCTGAATTTTCTCTTATATCGTATTTTGTTTGCTTTTAATAAAAGTATAAATATAAATGCATATTCATAATGCATTTGCTTTTGGATGATGCTATAATATTGAACAAACCAGCAGTTTTGTCTAAATGCATGCAGACCAATGTTTTAGATTGCCTATGGGAAATATGATATCGCTTTGGTTAGTACCTAAAATATTTTAAGTATTTTATTAATGTTAACTAAACATATTGCAGTAATTTTCATTTAGCATAATGCAGGATGGGAAATTTCAATAATGTTTCTGCTCCTTTAAACAAAATATATTGAATGAAATAGCTCATTTTAAGTGAATCATTATGAGCAGCCCTTTATTTCTTTCCTCTATTAGCTTAACATGACTGCCAGTTTGCAACTATGTAAAACCTTTGTTTTGCTGTCATTTTGACAATAAAATTCATATTCACTGTCTTTACAATAAAATATATATAAACTTAGTTCTAAAAATAGTTTAATAGGGTGGAGGGAGGCTCATCAGTGGAGCCATGAACTGAATGCGTCACATCACTGCACCCCGTGTCCCTCGGGAAGGTCTGAGACTTGGGCTAAAAGTGGCTCTAATAGGACTCTTCCTGAATTTTGGGGAGGTGAGTTTCCAGAGAACTGGACTCCATGCAGGGTCAGACTAGGCAGAAGGTGCCATGGACTGCCAGAGCTTGGAACAGACTCATAACTAGTGAAGTGAGTTAAAAATAGTTTAGTAATAATTCTCATTCAAATAATAATGAGTAACAGTTATTTCTTACTCTGTGCCACGCACATTTCTAAATATTTTAAGTATATTAGCTCATTAATTCTCACAGCACCCTACATAAGTGTTGTTGTCTCCATTTTATAGATGAGCACACTAATGGGACAGAGAGACTAAGATGACATAGCTAGTAAGGGGCAGAACTTGTAATCAAACTCAAGCTGTCTAACTTTGGAACCTATCCAATTGCCAATAAATTTTGTTGCCTTTCAATGTTACTAGAGTCTCAAACACTAAAAAAAAAAAAAAGATGGTATGTCCTATATTCTTTTCACTATGAAGAAGGAGAGGTAGAAGAAACTGAATTGGACATTTTGACATATCAGAAAACTTTAGTTCAAAGAGGATTTATCTCTGATGTTGAATGGCTAATGAACAACAAGACCAGAATTAGGACTGTAATAAAGAGGATATAGAAGGGAAACCAGTAAAATTTTTTTAGTATTTTTGCAGTTGAAGTAATGGTCCACAAGAAACAGAATTTAGAGAATGTGAGGTTAGATGGTCAGATTTGGCATAAATGAGAGATATTTCATACGGGCTCAAAGATGGATTGTTTAAATATTTAATGAACCCATATTTGTAAAGTGTAAAAATTGTAATAAAGGCTTGATAAAGTAGAATTAAAATTAATATCTCAAAGTACTATGTATGCCTTGAATTGATTTAATTCCACTACTTCAAAAAATTATGACTTTGTTCTCCTGTTGAATTTTTACTAAGATAAAATAGTCTTACAATTAATTTCTTTTTCTTTTCTTTAGACCGGAAACTAATTTCTTCTGATTATTACATCTGGAATTCTAAAGCCCCTGCTCCAGTAACATATGGATCATTATTACTGTAATTTTCCTCGTGTTTAAATGGGATTTATATAGTGGTAACATAGCTTAAAAGAAAATGAAATCACAATCTTTTTTTGGAGACTTACTCTGTCACCCAGGCTGAGGTGTAGTACCGCACTCATGGCCATCACAGCCTTGAACTGCTGGGCTCAGGTGATCCTTCCATTTCAGCCTTCCAAATAGCTGGAACTACAGGTGCGCACTATCACGCCCAGCTAATTTTTTGATTTATTGTAGAGAGAAGGTCTTGCCAAGTTGCCCAGGCTGGTCTTGAACTTCTGGACTCAGGCAATCCTCTCGCTTCCACTTCCCAGACTTCTGGGATTACAAATGTGAACCACTGTTCCAGCCGAAATCAAATTTCTTATATTTTCATGTGAATGTAAATAACCTGTGAGTAAAAAAACCTTTGAATGATTTACTTACAAAAGTACTTATATTTAATGTTTTTCGTCTGAGATTGTTTGAAAGGACTTTTTGAAGATTAATGTTTCTAATTTTGTTACCATTTGATTTTATGCCAATTTTATTCAGAACGTAGAAAAATAGTGATTCACACTGGCTTATTTTAGACTAGCAATGCGGCAGGCTTTGCTAATCAATCACAGCCCTTTGTCTATACTGAGCTTTCCTGGATAAGGCTCAGTTCAGAGATTCAGGCAGCTACTCCCAATGAATTATAGATGACTTATCAGATAAAAACTATTTGCTCTTCCAAACCTAAATACTAGGCTTCTAGTACAATGTGTTATTACAGAATACCAGGACCACATTAGAAACAACTATAAATCTCTTGAAAAAACAGCCAGTGGAGACAAAGGAAAATTGTATAAATAATAGCCTGTTCTTCTTAGTCAGAACTATCTTATTGACTAATAAAAAATCTGCATAACTATTAAAGTGCTTATCTCTACCCTAGAGTTATTTTTTAAATAACTTTGTCAATCTGCTACAATAACATTTTGCTTAGGATATCAGGCATATTAAGATGGGTGGGATACCTTCAAAAGTTGAACATAATGTTCCATGATCATTTAATGTCTGCAGCCAAATTGTTAAAGATAATTTAGGTATAATATTGCTTTTTATGTGCTTTATTAAATTAGAATTCATTAATGAGTGGATTATGGTAAAAATTTAAGAGGCATTCTGGGTAGACAATATCAATCTTATTTAGTCCCATGTAGCGTATCTCTTTAAATCTATCACTCTCACTTTCTTACTACCAGTCTCTTGATTTCTTCAGAAGACATCTAGTCTTTATTTGCTACCTATCTCTACAATTATGTCACATTCTGTTTTCAGAGCAGTTCATTGTCAAGTTGGACTTCAAGTGACCATTCAAGAAAAGATGAGCTCTCAAGACCCTCAAAACGTAATTCATGTCAAGATTCTTTTTGCAGACCAAAATTAGAAGTGTATTAAAAAAATTTATTACAGATTAATATTCTATTCAGCTGAGCATGGTGGCTCATGCCTATAATCCCAGCACTTTGGGAGGCAGAGGCAAGAGGATTGCCTGAGTCCAGGGGTTTGAGACTAACCTGGGCAACTTGGTGAGACCTCGTCTCTACAATAAGTCATAAAATTAGCCAGATGTGGTGACACGCACCTGTGGTCCCAGCTACTTGGAAGACTGAGGCGGAAGGATCACCTGAGCCCAGCAGGTTGAAACTGCAGTAGCTATGAGCATGCCACTACACTCCAGCCTGGACGATGGAGTGAGACTCCAACTCCCCCCCACGAAAAAAATTCAGTTATAGGTTCTGTTTTTTAATGAGTCTTCTAAGAAAAAGCTTAGAAAAGCTGCTAACTCCTCGAAAAAGCTATGCTAGTTTGAAGGGATAGTGCTCATAAGTTTGGGATTTGAAATATGATTTTTTAATTAAGGTCAATCCTACTCATAAACTTTCATTTTCTGCAGAGCATTATCATGGATAAGGTTCTATGTTCAAAATTATCCTAAGTAACAAAGAAAAGAGAATAACTGCCTGACCAGGACTTTAACTTGTTATTTCAGCTTAATCATAGATAATCAGTAGTAAAAACTTTCCTTTTAAAAGAAAATATGGCCGGATGTGGTGGCTCATGCCTATAATCCTAGCACTCTGGGAGGCTGAGGTGAGAGGATTGCCTGAGCTCACAGGTTTGAACCCAGCCTCGGCAATTTGGCGAGACCTCATCTCTACAATAAATCAAAAGATAAGCTGGGCATGGTGGCACGTGCCTTTAGTTCCAGCTACTTGGAAGGCTGAGGCAGAAGGATCACCTGAGCCCAGCAGGTCGCGGCTGCGATGGCTGTGAGCTGCGTGCCACTGCACTCCAGCCTGGGCTCCAGAGTGAGACTGTAACTCAAAAAAAAAAAAAAAGAAGAAGAAGAAAATATTATTCTCCTTAAGTTATTTGATCTCTCTTAAACTCAAAGTATGCTGAACATGTCACATATGTTAATATGTTAATGTTAATAGAGCCTTTTGGAAATCTTGGTTGTATAAATGTTTGCCAAATACACTCAGGTAAGCAAAAGACATTTATCTAGTGAGTAGGCAGATACTTTAATCTATTAGACTAAACTCTCTTTATAAACAGAAAAACCAGTGAGTCTTTGATTTGACATTTCTAGAAACCTGAGGAAAATCTAGGGAGCCCTGGAAAAGTGATGAGGTGATTGAGAACCTGATGCCATCTGTTGCCATTCCATCCTAACATAGCACTACAGAACTAAACCAACTCGGGTTTTCATCCCATTGAGATCAGCTGGGCACACTGTAATGCTTTTGATTTTGTCTAGAAACCTGTCACTTCAGGATAATTTCTGAAGACAAAGTCTGTTTCCCGTTTGGTAGGTGACCTGTTTAATGTTTTCCCTGTGTCTGGGAACTCCTTAGTGTAATTAGCGACCTTTGAACTCCACAACTAATCCTGAGCTATTTTGTATTCCTTACTCATCTTTAAGGCTGGACCTTTCTTTTCTTCCGAGTCCGCTGCCACAATTAAAGAAGAAACAGCTGCATTTCAAAGGGATTCCGATTCCAGAAGCTTAATCGTGATTGACATGTTCTTATTCTAAGCTATAAGACACTCTAAGAGTCCTTTCTTGGGTTAAAACTTCAATCATTTTCTAAAAAATTATCTCACTATGGATTTTATTCATTTTCTTTGATAACTATTCTTTGCATTTTTTAACTTGAAAGATGATTTGCGTTTGTAGTGAATATGAGCAACTACTTCCAGTGAAAGATTTGGATGGTGTCAGACCTATTCTAGATGCAAAATTGCTAAATTCCCTTTTAGTACCAAAATATGATTATGAAATCTGATGTCTATCATATGGGTAATTATTCTTCAGGAAACCCAAAAGGTAAAAAAAAAAAAAAAAAAAAAAAGTTTTAAATATCTGAGAATGAAAAGATGGTTCATGATTTTGGTAAAGCCCTTATTCTCCATTTTTTTACCAAACCATATATTTTTTAACTTTTTACAGTCAGCAATATAGTAATTTGGCAATGCCCTTAGAGTGGAGGCATTTTTTACATTTTAAATAGTTGATGTTTGAAGTAAACAGCCTCATCAGGAATTTTTATAAGAATTATTTGTTCAAAAAAATTTTGTTATTAAACATTAGTCTATCTTATCAAATAATTTTTTCACACCAACTCTATATTTTTATTGGATTAAAATTATGGTTTTATGCATTATATGATTTAAGATGTTTCAAAGCAGATTTCTTATACATAGTAACAACTGCTAATATTTTTCTTCTAGTTTTTGTTATAGTATTTAAAAATATTTCACAGACTCCTGCCCTACCCCTGGGAGCTAGGTAGGTGGAATTATCATCCAGAACCTCTGCAGAGACTGCTGTTGCCTCCGCAGAATGACTGTTCCTAAGACAAAGGTCAAAAAAAGGATGTTAATAAACAGTCCTCAGGTTTAAGGGACTTTTTTAGGATTACATCTTAAATTCCAACAAATCAGATTTAGGAGTTACTGAAAGTGAAATTGATCCATCCCTCATCCAAACTTTGCAATACTTTCCTGTTCTGACATCATTTAGATAGTTAGCTGTATTATCAGATTAGAAACCATTGTACCCGGCTGCTGAAAGGAAAAGGAGGCAAAAAGCTAAACATGGGATGAATTCTGAACCTTTTAACCTGGCTGAAGTACATTGGTCCCTGTTATGCAAATACCTTCAATCCTTTGCTAAGTTCAGTGGAAATAATTTTCTTGAATGACAGGTTTATTCAGCAAGGATTCAGTTGGTGATTAATCCCCCTTTGATCTAGGGTATTTCACTTAACTACCAGTTACCTCGTTCTGACAAAGTGCAACTGAGATTAGGGAGATCACTAGAACGCTACCAGGGTGTGCGTTTATTCTCTATAACCTTTTAAAGCAAGGGCCAAGAATGCAATTTATTTTCCGTATTTGAAGATGCAAAGTCTTGTCTGCTAAGTTAGAAAGTCAATTGAATAGCAAATGAAGTTTATTTCTTACGTAATAGAACAAACATTTCTTTTTGTTTTGCCTAACAATGAATGATATTAGGAAACATAGGCTTTGAAGAAAGAAAAAACAAAGATTGCACTCTAAGTATAGCTTCTAGTTTTGTTTCATGCACTGGAGTGTATACTTACTGGCCCTGAGATAATCCAAATATCAAAGAAGTGGCTACAACTTAGGTTGAAAAAATGCTTCTGTTTTATTAAATTGCACAGTTTCTTCTCACCTTCCCCTCCTCCCGCATTAGAAAATGTCAATGTTATGTGGTAAAGAAATCCAGCTGGAGAAGGCATGTTACAGTACACAGTTATCCGTCTTAAGACTTCTAATTGCAAAGCTTTGAATTAACTTTTTCCTTGAGGAAAAGGAGCTTCTTTAATTTTTATGCTAGGTTTCTTAAAGAATTTGCATTTTAAAAGTATTATCAACTGCCAGGGGAGGGAGGGACACACTTCATCAACAAGGGTACCTGCATAATGAACATTTGTATAC